ATTAAAGTGAAGAATGTATATTCTATATAATGTATAATAAAATGTATATTTTAAAATAATACTTTTAGAAGATGAGATGACTAGTGCACGCTCCTCTACCTCTCTGTAAGAGGCCGTTGTTTAGGCAGTTGTTTTACTATTGTCATGGAAATGGTGTCACAGTCAAGGGCTTTACTGTAAGGTGCAGCTCTGAGGAATATTGTAAAGACTGTCCCCTGCCTCCACTCGGCTGGAGGAGTGAGCAGTGCCAAGTTCCTCTCTCGTGCTCTGCGGTAGTCTGGCGCACACTGGACAGGCCGAGAGTCCAGAGCTCTGACCACAGCTGGGCAGTGGACTGGCTTCTCTTTCCCTGCCTCTTCCTGTTAGCTGGGTGTGAGTCCCGCGTATCTGAAGCGATGAGTCACGGTTTGTAAAGGAGCTGAAATCAGATGTGTGGCTTTAAAACAAGGGATCTGATCAAGTTGGGAGCGTTTTTGAGCCACCCCACCACCACTGCCACTCATAAACATAAAGAAATAATAAATCTCCACTCTCCGCCAAGACCTGATGCAGACTGGATGGTTTTCTTCCCAAGCTGTGTAAATCGCGAGGGTGTGCATTTTCGAGTCTGAAAAAGCTGTACATAAAAAAGGAGAAATTAAACTGAATCTTTGTCTGAATTAAATTGCCTAGAGGTGCTTTTAAAAAAAAAACAGCCAAAATAGTAGAGTAGTAGAGGATTTTATTGCTATATGTACATTGGAATTCTTATCCACACTGATCTCTCAGGACGTATGACATGCAGTACAGCAGACAACACCACACAGTGTAGATAGGACATTACAAACATAAAACATGATAACAGTAGGAACAATAAATGTGGAGTAGTGAGAAAACACGGTCGACCATGCAAAAAGTGCACAGTGCATGTGCATAATATCACAGTGTGAAACCGGCAAGAAACAAGTGCTTTATGGGAAGGTCCTGCCCACGCTCCTGGGCCAGCAGCGCAGCAGACGGAGGGAGATGCTCACCAACACTGCCCAGAGCAGGGTGAAGAGGTGGCATGTGAACAGGCCGGCTTGGCAAGGCTTCCACATACAAAGACAATCGACTCCGTTTTCTGGGTTTTTGCACATGGAGTGCTGGGCCTCGGGTTCATTATCCAGCAACAAATTAACAAGATCCTTGTCAAAGGAGCTTGTCGCGGCCTCGCTGGCCGGGGAGAGCGGCGCGCCGGGCTGTGTTAAATCTGGACACAGAGAGAAGCCGCGGCCGGCAGCGCTTTCATCCCCACCGCCTTCCCCAGACGTTTCTGCTGAGCTTAAGTCCGAAAGCAAAGCACTTGGGCAAATCTGTTTGATGTGGGTTTTTTTTTGGTCAGGAGGAGAGGCATCTAGCCAGGGTTGCTGCTCACTAATGAAGAATCGGGGAAACATTAAAAAGGCAACCAGCTGGAAAATATTTTTTTGGAACGGTGCTAGATTAGGTCTGTAGCCGTTTCCCCCACAGCTTTCCCCAAATGAATCTTTGCGTTAAAAAAAAAATAAGGCTCATGTGGCGCATTTTCAATAGGCAGTAATGACATAGACCTCCTGAATATTTACAATATTAACTTAATCTATTAACCTGTTCAGACGTGATTTTCAGTGTTAATGCACTGTAGTATGTAACGCCGTATACCCCATAAATACAAATGAAGGGTGACAATGTTCATGGAGAAAGAAGCACATGTATTATGTGAGATCCTTCCGCCTAGTGAAACGGGGCTTGCTGTGTGGTCCAGGGGTTTCCTGGTTCAAATCCTGGCTGTGCCGCTGACTCTTGTGTGTGTTCCTGACACTGAATGAGACGTCGGACACAAAGGGTTCTGGGAATCTGGAGCAGCCCATCCATGCATTCTGCTGACGCAGCTTCCTCCAGGATCCTGCAGGAAACCGCGAGATGAGGCACTGGCAACGAGCCTGTCTAGGAAGATGGATCTTTGCACATTTCCCTGCACTCTTGAGCCCAGACCCAGCTGTCTGTGACTGCAGCAGCTGGTGATGTCTTGCTCACCTCCTGGCCTGTTCACATTGCTTTGGACTTACAGTAAGGGACTCAACAGCAGAAACGTTGTGTTTCTCTCTACTTTTCAGCACGGAATTAACCCTTTCTTGCTGAAGCTACTTTGTTAAAGTTAATCTCTACTTAATTTACCTTTGCAGCCAGCGCAGGCTGACGCGGCAGGTTGGTTGCAATGGTTATTATAATCCAGAGGGCTACAAGTGCTGTTACACTTGCTGACCTTTCACAGTTATCGGAGGTCATTTTTTTTAGGAACTTCAGATCTGGTGTCCATACTTACATACAGTTGCAGACGTGTGTACACATTATGTACGTCTACTGTATCTGAAGGACGACGCCATAAAAACAATCAGAAGTCCGTTAAGATGCAGAATGGTGCATCTACAAAAAGAAAAAGGTCTCTAACTCGCCAGAAGATAAATAACCTTGTATAATCCTGTTTGGGCACAGGCCACGCCTGCAGAGCACATTATCTCTCGGGGAGATTCGCCAAGTCGCCTGACCTGGAGCTGAGAAACAGAAGTGTGAAAGGAAAGAGAAGAGACTCACTGGCTTGAGGAGAAGCAGACTGGGGGACTGGGGGACTGGGGGACAGGGGGACTGGGGACTGGATAAACCAAGGGAGGATCCAGGGCAGCTTTGCATCCTTGTCTCCAAATCCCTGGGTAAACAGGGTAAACTTGTGCAGCCCCACGCTCACTGTGGGCCCCGGGCCCCAGGCTGCCCCGAGCGAGGACAGAGCGCTGGAACAAAGCACAAACGTGCTTCCGGAAGCCAGGGCGCACGTACCCTGTGCCTTGTACTCCGGCTGTCCAGCGTTCGGGGCTTGGGGTGGACTGGCCACAAACCCCAGGCCGGTACAGAGAGTGAAAGACTGGCGGTTCCTGCCCTTGGACACACGAGGGTTCCCGACGTGCAGCAGTGCGCTTGCTAGCTGTTTGCTGAAGGAAAAAAATGGAAAGGATTTTCAGATCACTTTATGGGTGCGGAAAAAATCTGCTCAGCTCTGGACTCAACCTTGGAGCAAATCTATGCTTTTAAGTGCAGCGGTGACCATGCTGTGCTGTTTCCATCATCATCTTCATCCTCATCGCCTGAGCCTCCCCTGCCCTCCTCTGGTCTCATGGGAGCTGTCTCTGTGTGGAGTAGCAGTGCGAGTGAGCATGCACCTGCCCTGGGCACTTGACCATTTCTGGCATCTTTTCCTTCGGTTTGTTTCTATACAGATCTCCTGGAGTGGCTGTGTGAACAGCGTACTGTCTCTGAATTGTGGACCCAGCAGTGTGCAGAACAGTGATTTCGTTACATTACTACAACAGTTGTAGGCTGAAACAAATAACCACACGCCAGAAACTGTATGCATGTACATATTTTTGTTTCTCAGTTGGCAGAAGCTGTATCGCACTTCAGTGCAGCAATATCTGCCTTTAGAGAGACTAAAGCTGTTTTGTTTTCCTGAGTGAAACGCTAGCGGTGTTTGTAAAAGTTATGGATGGCTTTATCACTGTATGACAAAGACAGGGCCTTTCTTATCGTTTTTTTAAAGAGGGGAACACCTGCTTGTAAAACATTCCACTGAAACATCATTGCAGAAGTATCTGTGGAGCGAGAGGTCTGCCATCTTTGCTCTGGGGCTGCTGCACATTTCTGCAGGGCGTCTGTGTCTTCTCGACTGTTTTCTACTGTTAAAATACACTGGCAAAAACGTGGAGTGGTTTTAATGGGATGGATGTATGAGTAGCGATGATTCATGCCCATGATCTACACTGAATCCAATCCAATCATTCTCCGATATGACCAATCGGAAAACAAGGAAACGGGGTATTAAAGTAATCCTATACAAGCACACCTCACTGCTTAGCTGAATAAAGTAAAAACGGAGGGCATACGCTTACACTGTATAGAGCTCATTGAAGAATCCAATCCCCTTATGACACAACTAAAATGATTATTATTATAGTTTAAGTTTTGATTTCGTGTAATTGACAGATATGTCGAGAGAGTCGGTATTTAAAAGTGTATTAGACGTCCGCAGTTTGTAGCGCCTATCACGGTATTAGTGCAGTTTCATTACTGTACATAGAGCGCGTGTGGATCCTGCGTGTCTCGTGCGCTGCCTTCCCGCGCGCGGAGCTCGATCGGCCCTCGAGCGGGCGGCGGCGCCCCCTGGCGCACGAGAATGACTGACGCGCACGGCCGCCTTCTGCGCGACCTGCTGCAGCTGCGCCAGGAAGGGTCCCGCCTGTTTCGGGCGGTGAAGGCTTCAGAGTGACGTGATAGGGTCTCCTGTGGTGACATTAAGCGCCATTATCAATATTGCAAAGCTACATTTACTCAATACTCAAAGGCTAAATTATACCTTCATTTCGTTTAGTTGGGTGTAATACATTTTCTTACTGGGTTCTGTCTGTGACTTGAGAGCGCTCACCAGCAGGGTCGCGATCCCACTACTTTTTTTAAAAGAAGCTACTTTTGTGTCGCAAGTGAAAGACGGAAACCTGTGCTGCGATTTGCGGGGGCGCCAGCAGGCGTCACTGTAGGGTTTGAAATGGACGATGGCGTCTGTTGGTACCGGGGTGAGCTGAGCCGCGGAGCTCAGTCGTCGCTCTGCCTGCGTGCGCGGTGTGGTGTTTGGGGTGTAGAGGAGCGAGACACAGCTGGATCAGAGTGGCTCTTTTTACACTCGGCCTTCGGGTTCTGTAAGATTTACTGCACTGGCAGGCACTGCTAACGGATAGAGCAGGGAAGGGTGTCCGCAGGAAAAACAAGCTGTATTTAGCCAGTGTTCGGGATCCACGGGGGTAGCCGACAGAGCACCAGTCCTTGTGTATATGAGCCCAGTTCCCAGAACCTATGCGTGTTTTCTTTGGAAGGTCATTGTAGATTTATTATTTATTATTATTCCGGGACTGTTCTACCCGATAACATTTTCAGATTTTTATAGTTAATTATCTTACTTTACTATATGACTTGCTCAGACTAATTGCGTCTGCCTATCAAATCATGCATAATTAATATATATTAATGAAAGATTATTAGCTAGCTGAACCCCGGCACGCGTACGTGCTGCCCCGGCACAATCCCTTTCCTCGTGCCTACGCTTGTGTAAAACACCGGAGGATTTTAGATCTTAATTTTCCTGGAACTAAAAAATGTGATCTGACCGGCTGTATTTACACTGATCAGACAGACGGGGCGACGCGGTGTTTACAAGGTGAGGTTACTTGCGAGTAGCAGCGCGCAGGAGGAGTGGTTTTCCCAGGCTCCGAGCGCGAGGATGTATTCCTGCTGGAGCGGTGCGCGCGCGCGCTCTGCCCGCAATCACAGAGCACCACTTTGGCACGTGCTTCACAGAGGCAGGAGTGCACGGAGCAGGCGCACACAGTGAGGCTGGCACGCGGACCGATGGAGTCCCCACCCCCCCACCTTTCCGCTCGCGCTGGGATGATTGACAGGTCGAAACTCCCCTGGCCAATCAGCGTCCAGTGCACGCAAATCCACATCAAGTGCCCGGCTCCCATTGGCTGCCTGCCTGCTGCTGCGAACCGCCTCGCGTGCCGAAACTGGCGCACCCCCCTTACTTTCAAGAGGCTGACTGACGGATTACCTGGGGTATCTCGCTATGAATAGTAAATAACGGGTTTCTCTATTGTGTTGGCTATTTTATCTGCACAAGTAAATTGCCATTTTCACCCCAATTAAAGAACTGGATTATTCTCTTCCCATCTCTTGTAGTTTGTGTGCATACACCAATTTTAGTCGTTTAACTACGCTCATCAGTTTTTATTAATGCAGAGCCGAAGGCATTTGAAGTTTGCAGGTCTACGCTCCTCCAACAGGGAGAAGTTTCATACCGCGTAGATATACACGTTTATATCGAGCTACCGGTTTGATTCCGTCTAATGCCGACGGCAGACGGGCTTCTCTGAGCTCTGATCAACCGGCGACACAATTTGTAGACAATTACAATGTACAGCTGGTTGTGCACGAACGCCTGCCAGGACTTCGAACACTTATTTTTACCCCCGTCAATCAGGGGGTCGCAGGGACAGTACAGGTGATGACGCCCTGCTCAGGTGGGCGCAAGCGGTCACGATGCGGACCGGCGTCTCGAGTGCTCGGCCGTGATTGCTGCGGCGGCTCGTGCGGAGAGGGTGAATTCCTGGGAGCGGCAGCAGGAAGCGCAGAGGAGGGGACGAGTCCTGGTAGCGAGCCGCCGCCGCCAGCGCTCCCTCCTCCTCCTCCTGCTCCTGCTCCTGCTCCTTATCACTTCACAGCCTCTGCCCGGCCGCGCGCGCTCGCCGCTTTGTTGTTTGTCCCTCCAGGGCTGGTTGAGCAGCGCGTGACTGACAGCCTGCGGGGGTGTTGACCAATCAGCGGCCGGCCCCGCGCCCAATGGGCGAGCCCGCGCGGCGATTGGCCGCCGCGAGTGTGGGAAAGAATGCAGAGAAGGTTTCACACGAACTGGGAGCAGGCGCGCGGGCTATAAATACCGCCGGCGTGTGGCTCGCGGAGGCCAGAGTCGCTCGGCGCGCTGAGGGTTGCAGGCGAACACACGCGCAGACACATGACAGAGCGGCTCGGGAGCACGAGAGCTGAGCGGCCGGACCTGCGCACTGCCCTGCTGTCGTCATAGGATCTCCGCCAAGCGTGTTCCTTGTGGGGTCGCCGCCGCTCCTGGTTGACAAGCTGGAGAGGAGGGAAAAAGGATAAACACTTTCATATCCGCATCTGGCTGAATAAACTACAGCTTGCACGACGGCTGCCAAGCTCTGAAAGGATCAGCTTTTTTTCTATATAAAGACGCTTTACTCGAAGACAAGGTGTGTATCCCAAGGAGCGAGAAGATGCCGGCTGACACTGTGGAGAAACAGGCTGCCTGTCCGGCCGCCGGGGCTCCGGCCAGCGGCGCTCACACCCCGGACAAGCCGAAGAACGCCAGCGAGCACAGAAAGGTAAACCTGGCTTTCTGGGACAAGCCTCTCGGGGTGCACTCGGGTTCGAGCCCCTGTAGCCGGGGGAATTGCGGCCAGGCGTCGTGATTAGACTAAATCGCCTCGAGAGGATCTTGTCAGCTTTTCAAACTGTTCGGTCTCGCTGTCTGTGGCGTGAATTTCACTTTTTTTTTTTTACCTTTTGCACTTTTGCAGTCTTCCAAGCCCATCATGGAGAAGCGGCGCAGGGCGCGGATAAACGAGAGTCTCGGGCAGCTCAAGACGCTCATACTGGACGCCCTCAAAAAAGACGTACGTTTCTCCCCGTTTCTTTTTACGGTTTTAAATATCATTTGCAGACGAAGCGAGCGCGGCCGCGGCCGGGACGCGTCTGCCAAGAGGCTCACGTGTGTTTTTTTCCCTCCCGCAGAGCTCCCGGCACTCCAAGCTGGAGAAGGCCGACATCCTGGAGATGACGGTGAAGCACCTGCGGAACCTGCAGCGCGCGCAGATGACGGGTAGGTGTCTGGCCGCCGGCGCGAGGGCACTGGGGTGGGCTGGGGTGGGGGGGCATCACTCAACAGGCCGGTATCGCGTTGCAGCCCGTCTCCTTCTCGGAGTTGAGACGGGCTCCCAGGTCACTGACAGCCGTGCGGCCGGGGCTCTGCTCTTCATCAAGGAACCCTAAAACAGCCGAGTGACCCCATCTCTCTCTCCCCTCTCCCTGCAGCGGTCCTGACGGCCGACCCCACCGTCCTGGGCAAATACCGCGCGGGCTTCAACGAGTGCATGAACGAGGTGACCCGCTTCCTGTCCACGTGCGAGGGGGTGAACACGGAGGTCCGCTCGCGGCTGCTGACCCACCTGTCCGGCTGCCTGGGCCAGATGATGGCCATGAGCTACCCGCCGCCCCCCGGCCAGCAGCCCGCGCACCCGGCCCAGCCGCTGCATGTCCAGCTGCCGCCCGCCGCCGCCGTGTCCGGCAAGCTGAGCCCCAGCGAGGCGGGCTCGCCCAAGGTGTACGGCGGCTTCCAGCTGGTGCCGGCCACGGACGGCCAGTTCGCCTTCCTCATCCCCAGCCCCGCCTTCGCCGGCGCCCCCACCCCGGTCATCCCCCTGTACGCCAACGCCAGCGCCAGCCCGGCCCACGCCAACCCCGCGCCCACGGTGGCGTCGCCGGTCCAGGGGATGACCTCCTTCCACGGGGTGGCGCCGGCGGTCAGCCCGCTCAGCGTCAGCGCCGGGCCGGACAGCGGCGAGTCCGTCTGGCGGCCCTGGTAGGCGCCCGGGGGGACGGGACACCGTCATGAACTTTTTAACTATTTTTTAAAAAATTAAAATTTAACGTTCCGTTGTAAGGAACAGATGTGGCTCTTCTACTGGACTTTTTTTTTAAAAAAAGTATTTATTTCCTGGTTCCAAAATTTGGGATGCTGTGGTATACTTGTTCTTCGTGACGTCACTGAGAAGCTGTTTGTATCGGAAGGTCTTTTTTTCTGGAAAGACCTTTTTTGTAAAGACCTGTGAAAGTGGTTGTTTAATACCAAAGCCGTTTGTTTTTGTAAATAGTTTTGTGTTTTTTTTTTAAAGTCCCTTCGTTTTTGGGGTGGGGGGGATTTGATTAAAAAATAAAAAAATGTTTGAAATACAGCATCATGGGTTCCTGTTGTCATTCCCTCTCGTCCTAGACGAAAGGATTCCTGCGATTCGTGTTGTGTAACTGTGGAAGCTCTGTCCCTCGGTGAGCCGCAGGTACCGGGGGCGATCGCTCAGGGGCTGGGGAGGGTTAGGGTTAGGGCAGCTCGTGTTTCAGTCACGGGGGTGGGAGAATAAAAATTAAAAACAGGCGAAAAGCGATCAGCAAGGACGTTCTCGCGGAGCGTGAGTTCGGAGAGACGAGCCGGACGGGCCGTGACAAACCGGGACCGCGCGCTCCAAGGCCGGGTCTTTAAATTTTAAACCCCCAAACCCCCCCGCCGGCGCTCCTCACGAGCTGAGGACGCGTTGTCACCCGGGCCCCCGCGAGCTGGGGTCGAGTGGGCATCAGGAGGGCGGTTCCGAACTGCTCGGCGCCCACGGAGAGATTTCTGTTCCTGCGGTCACGATGTGGTCCCCAAATAAAACATCTGTCCCCGCACCGTCTCTCCCAGAAAGGCGGGAAACGTCGAAGGCTGAGGAGGAGGAGGGGGAGGCGGATTACTGAGAAGGTATAATAGACTAGTGCCACAAAGGCGAGAGAATATTTTCTCTTTTGCAAAAAGGTAATTAAAAGTATGAAAAGGAGCTTCATCCCGTATGCAGCGGGATCTTTTAAGCAGCCTTAAGCCCCATTCACGGCCCTGGGAACGTCGCTTCGGGGCTCATGTCACTAACAGATCGCCACCCTGGAAAGCGAGTGTGGAGGGACCTCGGGTGCTTTTGTGCACCCCAATTGCTCAGTTCCACCCTGAATACCTGATGAGAGGACAGAGGGTGGGGGCAGGGAGACGAGTTTAGCGCCAGTTTTCAGCCTCATGCGTCCACCGCAGATTCAGCGCCGGGGAAGTCTCGGAGGTGGAAATGTAACCCAGGCAGCGGCGGGCGCACCGACCCACAGCCAGGAGGAGAGCGGCCGCTCCGTTAGCTGCTAATTTTAACATTTTAAAAGCTCCCACTCTGTGAGTCACACACGGCGCCCCCCTCCTCCCCCGCGCGTCTTCCTCCCCCCTCCCCGTGGGTTAACCCGGGGGCGGTAAGGCTACACCTCTCCCCCAGCGAGCGGGCGGGCGGGGGTCGTGTCGGCTGGGCCTCGGGCCGGGTTGGGTTACACTCGCGCCGCCGGGCACGCTCCCCTCTTCATCTACCTGTCAGAGCGAGCGCTCCGGCCCCCCC